CCTCGCGAAGATTGTGAAGCAACGTTTTGATATCCATGTGTTTTTCACTAACAACGGTACATACGTCTTTTTTACGTACTTTTCTCGGAATTGAACTCGAGACAATGAGGCCGTGTAACTTTCTTATTTTAGCTATTCTGGGAAAAGAGACATTCATAGACTCATTCTGAGGATGAGAAGAGAAAAAGAGTAGAGTTAGCAAAGGCCTAAAATAAATCAGCCTCACTAAGAGAGTGAATAAAGATAACTTTAACCCTCTGACAGAAGTTTATTCATGCCTTGATGCACTAAGGAAATTTAAGACTAAGTATCTTCTGACACTGAAACTTGGCTTTGCGGTTTGTTTAAGAAGACTTATTTCTCATGAAGTGTTACTAAGCTGACATTTGTTATTAGTTCTCTTCATCATGCGACTTCTGAGAGTAGGAACTTTACGAATGCAAATTTCATTGAAGAGAATGAAGTGGGGCTTTGCATGTCAGGCAATCAGAGCACAAGGACAGGATTATATCCATGTTGCCCTTCCGAGCAGCTAGCCACAACTTAAACAGTGAACACAGAAACGTATAGTGCAATGTTTTTAAAATGAGCGGTTTCCTTTTTGGGTAGAAGCGTCATCCTGGATAAGTCTTTTTTTCTGTTTTATTCGCAGTGGATTTTCCAGTGCTACGGTCTTAAATAAAAGACATTTTGTTATTGTGGAAACGGAATTAAGAAGCGCGGAACACGCCTCGCGTGGCTTGTTGCGTGACCTGATCAAACTCGTAGACTCGCCCACCTTAGTGTCAATGCCCTCTCACAAGATTTACTTCAAAAGTAGCTAATTGTTGAAAGCTGACAAGATTGTTTATCGATAGTTTTCTCTCCGTTTCTTACTACCATACTGGTGTTTCATTTGGTAAAACATCAGTCATTATACGGTTTAATTAACGCTTGTAAAATCTCGTCTAACCTAACTTTCATTTTAAAATTTCGCGACAGCATTAAAAACCTCGAAGTGTTTACCTGGCACGTACTGATAGGAGAGGGCTTAAGATGCTCTACTGGGAGATCCTTTATCCTCAAAAAAAATACCCCTTTCATCTTGTGCACTGCGTTTGTTTCCTACCCTGGCACTGTTATTTACGATTTCTAGCTTCCCTTTACCGTGTTTTTTCCTCTTCAAGCAAACTGATGGTG